TGAAGAAACTGAAACTGATACTGAAGAAACCATTGAAGGAATGGTTGGAAATACACCTCATTCGTCAACAGCACAACCCAAACAAATGAAATGTTCCCTACCACAAAGGCCCTCTGTTGAAGCTGTTGATGTACCTAAATACCAGAATGTTTGTATATATTGTAATCAGGTCACAAAAAACAAAACATATGAAAAATCCCGAATTTCTGAAGAGAAGAAAGCTACCGAGTTTCTTGTACAAACCCAACACTTACAGGATGAAGTGTATACCAGCACCTGTCACCTCACTGATGTGAAAGGAGTGATTGAAACTGATCTCTTATACCATAACTATTGTTACAAACAATACAGCCATAAATACCAGAAAAGTACTGATTCAAATTCTCTTCATGATAAATCAAATATGTATGATGTATTTAATGATGTCATCAATGAAATTCAACAAGACTTGAATACAGGAAAAGCCTTCTCTGTATCAGAGATTTGCAAAAAGATCGGTGACCGCCTTCAACGTAGCCCTGTTCAAGGGCAACTTGTCACCAAATATTTGCGTAAGCGATTTGGTGAAGATGTCACATTTATAAAGCACAGCAAGAGGCAGTCTCAGGATTTTCTTCTGGCAAGCAAGATAGATGCTGTAAAATTGGTAATTAATCATTTATAATTTAAAAGTACTTATTCAGTGTGTCAAATAAGTCCCGTCCCCCCCTCTACAGCCAAGACCTTAATAGATGGTACCTAGTGTGATATACCATTGGAAAGATCATCCAAAGTTACGTTAACTCACCAACTCTCAAGTATTTTGGATGAAATTTATCTATATTTTGATAGTATCCTTTATAGTTAGTGTACTCTCTTCCAATGGCCCTTTTTGCGTCAAAATGAGAAGGATTTGACCTCAAAAATATTGGCATTCCACCTGTTATCAAAGAGTTTTCACTATCACTATCCTCACCCCTCTATTTTCTACACACATAACCCTATCCAGAAATTGGTTGAATTTACAGCCAAACACAAAATGTTGACATTTTGGGTTCCTTTGACTTCTGATGCCCGATTCTAAAAATCCTGCCTAAAATATGTAAAATTGCCATGTTTTTAGGTCTATGGTCACCTCAATTGATACAATGTAGCAATTTGTAACATTGATTGACAGGTTTCAGCTATATGCCAATCAACGTAACTTTGGACAATCTATCCAATGATATATCACACTTGATACCATATATCTTGGTTTTGGCTGTAGAGGGGGGGGGACGGGACGGGACTTATTTGACACCCTGTATGTTAAGGTAATTCTGTATGATAAAAATTTTGATGCAATCCTCCATAGAGTCACATGTTAATTTTTAGATATCAATCACGCCTTCCCAAAATTGTCTTCATCTTTCAGTTTTGCACAAAGAGTGCACTAATGCACCTAGGAAACACTGTTAAGAGAAGATTTTTTTGATAAAATATATAAAAAAATAGAAAATTCAGTGAGAACATTTTGTGAAAATTTTCTGGATTTTCTAACTGAATTTTCTTGTTTATTTAAAAAATAACATGTGACTCTATCGAGGATTGGATCAAAATTTCTATCATAAAGAACAACCTCTATAAATTGAATTCTTGTAAAATTAGAAAAATTTATTCCATAAAGTTCATGAAACTGCTCCCATAATTAAGAAGACTTTCACACCCTTGGTACATGCAGCTAGCAGAAATGAACCAGTATGGTACAAAAGCTGACTGGCACAGTCCAATGATTATTTTTTAATTTAAATCGACCATAAATTTTGCCATATCCAATTTAAAATCTGTGATGCTTCCAAGTACTTAGAAACACTAGATTTTTGAAAGATTTTTGAACGAAGCAAAACTTTCAGCACAATTTTCCATTTAACTGGGAGGGATTTAATATGGGGTTTATTCCGTCCAAGGGACAATATGATATTTCCTGAGGGCCCATATTTTCACATTATAAACCCATATTGAATCCCTCTCAGTAAATAAGCTTTTTATCCCATGATATTTATAACTCTCTTCATGAAACCATTAGTTCAAAATCCATATCTGAATTTTGTATGAAACAAAACCAGACTATATTTAATTAGTTTTACAAAAACTTTATGATGTTTTGAAACATAGGGTGTCCCAAAAAATGCCACAAAACTATATATATTATATATGTATTTTGTGGCACTTTTTTGGGACATCCTGTATAAAAACTTAATTATATAACATAAACACATCAACATCTAAAAAATTGAACAATACATGTGCACTATGGGGGTAGAAGTCCTGCTCGAAAGCTGATTTTCAAAATGGCCGCTCGTTTCAAAATGGTGGCCATTTTAGTGCCGATTTGACAGTTATTTAGGTACAGTGTATAGAACTGTAATAGCAATGTGTTTTAAATGTAAAAAGTTCTATAGGACATTAGTCAAGCTAGACATGAAAATGGCGTCTTTTACGTGCTATTTTACAATTTTTGCAATTACTTGAAAAGTAGTGGAGCGATTTTGTTCATATTTGGTATGTGACTACTTATTAGCATGACACACTGTGTTATGACACTTTGGCTAAATATATATTTTTCTACTTGTTACATCATGTTAGGTTTACCTTAGAAATAAAAAAGCATATGTATTTGGTAATATGTAAAAACTGATATTTTGTCAAATTTCTTCCACTTTTACAAAAAAAAAATTTTCTAAGTTCCCATGTCCCACATATATTAATTTGATACTGCATCATATGTCCCCTTTATGGTTCTAATTATTACACCAATAATAACAATTTTATCTACCATAACAGCCTCAGAATAATAAACTTTATAAGGTAGACCCTTGATTATAGGTGGCGCTTCTGTATATTTGAGGCAAAATGACCCATCAAATGACCTTCCAGGATCACCTAAAAATTCAAATGCATAGTTTAGGAAGTAGTCTCTAAGGAAACAGCAAAAAAATAAATATGAAATTAGGTTTGGCTGAAAAAAAAATTAATTAAGATTATCACCCTGCAACTTTAAAATCACTAGATGGCGCCACTATAACCTGCCATAAAAATTGATTTTACCCAAACCTGAAAAAATAACTTATGGATTCCTACACTTCAGGGTATCTTCTAAAAGAAAATCAAAAGTTATTTCATTCTAAATCCGAGTAAGCTCAGAGAGGCTAGGGACAGGACTTTTATTACAAACATCCCTGTAAGCCTCATGGAGCAACCGCCATATTTTTCCTTGAATACCCATTTCCCAAAGTTTCACAAATAACATATTGCGGTCAATAACATCAAATGCCTTAGAAATATCCAAAAATGATAAAAATGTATTTTTCTTAGAGGATTTACGAAGTGAGCATAAACCTTTTAGAGCAAAAATGTGGTTTTCAAGTCTAAGATTTTCCCTGAAAGCTCCCTGGGAATCACCAAGAAGGTCACATGACTCTGAGTTAAGTTTAATGTTACTATCAAGTAGACTAGTATAAATTTTATAAACATTGGAATTCATGGTGAGACCTCTGTAATTATTTAAGTCAATGTTTAAACCTCGTTTGTATAAAGGAACAAGTAATCCTTCTTTCCACTCTGTAGGCATAACTTCTAGGGATTTTACTTTGTTAAAAAGGTCAAAAAGGGAAGAAAACATTGTATTTCCCCCGTATTTAAGAAATTCATTAGGTATATTATCCGTACCACACTTCTTGCCATTATTAAGCTTTCCGAGACATTGCACAAGTTCAGCATATGTAAAGCAGAAGCTGTTTAAGGCATTATTATCATAGTTAGTTTCCTTTAATAAAGAATCTATCTTATCTGATAGATTATTGGAGGTAAACTTTGGATTACGATTATTACGCCCCACCCTTTCCCAATACAAATGTAGAGCCTCAGATATGGCTTTGGGGTCAGTTAAGATCATATCTTTGTTGTTAGGGTCTTGGATTTGAATGGGATATCCATTATTTTCATTGAACATTTTCAATTTTTTCCAGTAGGATCTTGAACATTTAGAAAGTGACCTAGCATTACTAGTTAAAACTTTGATGTGATTCTTTACATGTGATTCAACTATTTTCAACTGAACTTGTTTTTTACGTTCGAGGTATAAGTTCCAAATTTCTCGAAGTATGTCAGGGTCAGCTGACTTTGAACGACTCCAATATCGGTAGAAGCGTGATGCTTCTTTACGATTATTGATTAATAATTTAATTTCTTTATCCCAAAATGAACGATGGTTCGTTGGTACCCTCTTAATCCCAACCCCTATATGAGCAGCCTTCATTATATTCTCTTTGAATGAGGACCATGCATCTTCAATGTTACTGCACTTGGAAATGTCCCAGGAACTAAATTCAGTATTAATGGCGTTTCTGAAGCAATCCCAATCTGTGTTATCATTGATGTTCCAAATTACAGTATCTTCATCTTTATTATCAGGAGGAACATTGGTCTTAAGGTTACCTGACTGAGAGGGCAGTATAGCATTTATAATCATAAAAGAGTGGTCACTACCTAAACTTGCCTCTTCGTGGGTTTCATCAATAATCATATTTTGGTACACCTTCATAAAATTATGGTTACCAAAGCAATAGTCAATGGATGAATGTTGAGTTCCCCTTGACCATGTTATCTCACCCTGACAGTTAATAGAGTTTAACATGTGCATGCCTGTGACATCACTGAAAAGATCGATAAGTTTACCATTTTGGCTGCTTTGCCCTTTACAAAATTTGGTTGCCTTCCCATTAAAATCACCCATCAATAAAGTATATGTGTCATCTGATTCAACCTCTGCAACATTAGAGATCAACTCATCCATTAACTTTTCGCTTAAAATTGAATTTTTTCCATCTACGGGAAAGTAAGTAACTCCAAGATTAAGAACATTATTATTAATTTTAACACGAATCCATAATCTTTCTAGGTCATCACAACTCGAGTGAAGTAAATCATTTTCAAGGATTACTATTCCTTTCTTAACAAAGAATCCTACACCCCCACCTTTTTTACCAACTCTGTTTTTAGGGATCCACACATAGTTATCATTTAAAATTGAAAGCGTGTTAGTGTCATCAAAAAAAGTTTCAGCAATAGCAACAATATCATAGCTACATTTAGATAAAGTCTGGTTGAGCTCATGCTGTTTAGCAAGGCCAAAGTGGCATACATTATTAAAAGCAAAGGTCATTTGAGTGGAGCTGGTATAGATCTTTCTTCTTCCCCGACGAGTTTTGCGATTACGTTGGTGAATGACAGGTTCAGGAGTGGGCGGAGATATTGTAAATGAGTCAGATGGGACGAAGGCAGAAACATTGCCTAAAGCCTATTGTGGCCAGCGCTGTCCAAACTGTCCATTAACAAAATTAGGGTGGTTTAAGTTTTGTGTGAATGGGCACCTTGCTTTCTTATGTCCAAAATTAGAACAGGAGTGGCAGCGTATGGAATTTGTGTGCCAACAAGAATTCGCAAGGTGACTCCTTTCTCCGCATTTAAAACAGGCTGGTGAAATGTTACGTGAAATATCATGGGAGGGGGGCTGGGCACGTTGGTCACGTACGGGGGGCTGTTGTTGCTGCAAAGAGGGGACATGAATATCGTTGCTGGTGGGTTTGTGTTGGGCTGTAGCCTGCGATGAGTGTTGCAAGTTACGTTGCTGTTGACGGGCACGGTTGTTTTTTGTAACATCTCGTGTCTTACAGCCGAGTCCCATGTTACGTGCCAATTTATTAGATCCTGGCTTTGATAAGTGAAGACCATCAGACCAGAGATAACCTTCATTTATTTCTCCACTCTGTAGTTTAAAGCCATTTGTGTCATTGTTGATGAACTCGATCTTTTCCTCCTCGCATAGGATCTGTAGCTCAGCATTAAGGGCATCGGCGGTATTCTGCGCCAATTCTTTGTCGGTTCGAGGGCAAATGCTAGAAACGGCAACAGTGGTAGCAATGTTCTTGGCACCTTTAATAGCTAATTGGTATTTAGCTTTGATCGAGGCCTTATCTGATGATTTTGCACAGTCTTTACTTCCTACTTGAAGAATAGCCTTTTGGTACTTGGTGTCTAAATTAGTGAGTCGCTTATGGACCATATCAATGTCTGCCCCACCAATAGAAATAACTTCAACGTCATTGAGTTTATCTTGATCGAGGTCACGAACGATAGAACTTCCAATCACTAGCGTTTTTGGGGTGGGGTTTGACAGGTTCATTTTGGGATTTGTTCATTTTATGCCAGTTAAGGGTTTCACGAAGGCTTTTACACTCTTTTTCAAGTTCATTGCAGGTTGCAGTTTTGGCAGATAGTTGTTTTACAAGATCGAGATTCGTAGTGTTTATTGCACTCACTGTGCTCTGCAAAGCATCAACCTTGGCTGTGGTGTTATCAACTGCCACCTTAAGGTCTTGTATGATAGCTACTAGGTTGCGAGTGTTTATATCAGAGTCATATTTGGAAGACAGCGAGTATGTAATTTGTTGGACTTAGGAAGCTTTGGGGTCTTAGGGGCCGTCCTACACGCTCGAACGGGACGTTTACGCTTCGCTCCTGAGTCTGAGTTGAAAGTACCATTAAGATCCAAAGGCAATGTGTTTTTGCCTAGACGTTTACTTCTGCGTTTATGGACAGACCTTTGAGTGTCATTCTGTGAAGGTGAAGCAAGATTAGTTGAGCAGTTTGGTTCTCTTGGAGTCAAAGCACGAGCTTGAGATGCCCCCTGAGAACACTGAGACTGTTCAGGAGACTTGTTGATAGTCAGGTTTAAGGTCAGAATATCAGCTGATTCAGGTGACCCCTGACTTTCTTTATAAACAGAATCAGGTGATCCAATAAGCAAGCCAATATCAGTTCCAACTTCTGAGGGTTGAGGGCTAGCCATGGTCATAGGCAGCTAATATGCACATTAACACCTTCTAGTTCTTTAAGTGCTAAAAACTTAATTACCTCAATGCAGTTCAATACTGTATTTTTGTGTAAGTCTGAAATATTTTCCTCAATTTATCTGAAATAATTTCCATCAAATGTCATTTAGACACTTGAAATATCACAAAAATAATTATATATCCAGATTCCTGATGTATTCACGAATCCTGCGGTACTAAAATTGTGATTCTTTTTGTTCTTGTTCCTCATAAATCAGTCCTATTTCACAGAGCAAAATTATTCCTGTCAACTGTGTTTGTGTTTGTGTATCATAACTATCATTTATCATGGCATATCATTGCATTTCGTGGTTGATTGTATTTCATAGCATTTCATTGTCAAACCTGACCATCAAATACCATGGTTATACCATGGTATTTCATTGCTAAAAAGAACTCTACAAGAGTCTCAAGTCTAAATTTGGTCAGAGTTGAAATGGATCATGAAATGCAATGAAATACCACGTTTAACCATGAAATGCAATGAAATACAATGATTGATCATGATATGCAATGAAATGCAATGGTCTTTCTTGCAATGCAGTGAAATACAATGAAAGACCATGTTCAAAAAGTATTTTTTACATGAAATATCTTTATTAATAAATGTTAATTAGATAACCAAATTATTATAATTAGTGATTCTGATATTCATCAAAATCACAAATTTATATACTTTTGTTCCTTTATTTAATAAATTAATTTCTATTATGAATAATTAAGTTAATAACCCTAGAAACAATTTTTTTTGTTAAACAAATATGCTTTACTTTTATTTGACTGTTGTCAGATAAATAGGAGATCAACTTGTTAATTTGTAAGTCAAACCTCCAGTCTTCGATTAAACATCTTGACTGTACTTTATTGCATTTGATGGTTTGCAACCATGAAATACTGCAAAATAGCAGTATTTTTAAATGCAAAATTTTAAGTATAGTTTCCACAGTATAACATGGTAGATCATGATAATTAAATGGCTCCATTGCATATCATGGTTAAATGTCTAGACCATGATATCACTGCATTTGATGGTATTTGACCATGAAATACTGTGAAACGGTGGTATTTTTTAGATACAAAATTACATGTTAATTGACCATGGTATACCATGGTATATCATGATCGTTAAATGGCACCATTGCATTTCATGGTCAGGAACGTTTTTTTAACATGGAGTTTCCCATTGAAAAAATACTGCCGTTTCACAGTATTTCATGGTCAGAAACCATCAAATGCAATGATATCATGGTCAAGAAACCATCAAATGCAATGATATCATGGCCGAGAACTTGACCATGATATCATTGCATTTGATGGTTTCTGACCATGAAATACTGCGAAACGGCAGTATTTTTTCAATGGAAAACTCCATGTTAAAAACGCACTGTTAACAATGAAGTGCAATGGTGCCATTTAACATTCATGATCGGCCATGGTATTACCATGGTATTTCATTGCATTTCATGGCCATATACCATGGTATACCATGGTCATACCATGGTTTACCATGGTATGGCCATGGTCCATTTCAACATGGTATCTCATGTGAAGGTGTTCACTTTAGACTTAGTGCTCATATTTAAAGGTTTATCTAAGTATAATAAAATAAAGATGCAAAGTTTGTACTAAGTTAAAATGACACTATTGTTATCTAAGATTGCATATTCAAATATTCCTGATAGATCATAATTCACAAGAGACTATAAATTTCTATTACCTCTTATCATTCTGAGTACCATAATAATGTGAGCTTATAAATAATATCAATAACAATGAGCTGTGTGGGTGTATGCAACATAGAATTCTATTGCCTACTGAAATAAGGATCAAGGGCAGACCTGAAAATTAAGATGAGGGCTGAGGCCCCAAAAATTTCCGCCTAAATCTGAAGAGGCCCAAAATTAAAAAAAAATAATAATGCCCAGTAAGGCCAGTTTGTTACCAAAATTGCTGACTTCATGAAGTAGATTTTAGGCCCTGATTTTTTGATACAATGTATGAGGTCAACCCTATGACCATAATGGCCAGAAGAAAGATGCATTTCAAGATACTTATGCATCATTTTACCACAGTTGACTGGGGTACACTGTGCCACAACAGTGTAACAACAGCTTCATATTATAATCAATGATGTCATGCAAATACACAAAGTGCAATAAATGGTGGGTGTTTATATTTTCTTTTTTGATTGATGAGGTCATGATGTTACCTATGATATCATGCACTTAAATGTGCACAGAAATTTAAAGGTTTTAAAGAAATCTAACACACTCACACCGTCCCATGATGACTCTAGGGAGAATATCAAGTAAAATATTAACATGTAAACTGATTTCTCTGAGGAGAGAATCTGAGGAAGAATATTAATACAGTTCCAAATTCCTCATGTGGGATCTAAGAGAGAATAGAAATACTTGTATTAACATAGGTACTTCCTGGGAGATCTGGGGATAAATCAAAGGGAGAATTTGAAACAGATATAAACATGTAATCTGGTATCTCCTAAAGGAGAGTGAGTGTGAGTATCAGTTAAATATAAACAAGATAAACAGCAAGTCACCAGCAAGACATATGAAATCACTCAACATTTTGAATATTTGATCATAGAAATAACCAGATTAACAGATATAATACAATTTACACCAATGACTTAATGTGAAACCATATGAGAAAATACTTTCCCGAGTAGGGGTTCTATGTCCCTGCCAGTGAATCACATTTGAACGAAATCTAACAGCTGGTATTAGAGTTATCGAATTACATTTTTTACGAAAAATTTTCGACATTTTAATTGAGCAGCCATATTGAAAATTCTAATAATGCACTAGCTTATAAAATTTGAACCAAATCTGACATGCGGTCGCAGTGTTTCAGCTATCACTCATACATACAAACAGACGGACAAATGGAAAGACGAACAAATGGACTGAGGTTCTCTAAATCCCTAAACAAACTTCATTCAGAGTGGAATGAATACCCACTGTCTCCAGGGGTGAATAATGCTGTCAGGTCAATGTTAGAATTCTATTGAGTAAAACAAGATCATTTGTCTTGGCAAGAAATTCACCATGACCTTAGATGGTTACATAACCTAGAGCATGGTGACATAATTGCTCTTTGAAATATTTACCAGGCAGTAAAATAGATTGGATCAGAGAGGATATTGCAAATAGCTCTCACTTCTAGTGCCTTAATTCACTTTACTGGGTTTTGAAAAGCCACGTCTGTCACTGAAAAAATTAAAACAAGGCATTAACATGACAAAATGTCACCACCTTGTAAGTTATTGCACACTGTTACAGAAAATCTGAATGGTGGATGCGGAAGATTATCCACAAAAGAGTTGTAAAAAGACTGTGACAACACGTCACCACTTCTTGGGGTGACATAATATTAGATTAGGCATTTTTGTTTCGACATCAATGATTAAGCTGCCACGAAGTGTGATGTCATTGACCTAAAATGTTATGGGGTCCCAACTGTTAAGATGGATGCACCCTTAGTATAACACACTCCATGTTCAACATAGAAAACAAATATAGTTTGGTAAGTGGGCATTTAAGGTCATCTAATTAACAGATAAATAAGTGACTCACGTCCAGTACATTATAATGTCTTGCATCAATCATTAATTCATAGTTTATTAATAATTCAATAGAAAAAATCTGACCTTGTGTAGATTTAAGTTGTCCCCTCTTGAAAATTGATCTATTTATGGCCTAGCAGTAACCAATTTTAAATCTCACAAGATAAATTTGTTTTAAATTAATTATTTGAAAAACATGCCTATTCTTAAATTTAATTCCTCATTAAAGAGGGAATCAGAAATGAAGAGCAACATTTCAAAAATATCTAATTCTAGAATAAGTTCACCTAATGTTATTTTTGTTAAGCCTATTATCTAAAAATTTGGATATTTCAGGGTTAATCTTACATTATGACATAAGACGAGTATACACATATACTCATATTAATTTTTTCACTCGTCATTTTTTCTACATTTCTAACTAAAATGTTAATCAATATAATTTCGATTACTCTGATACCATCAACCTTTTCTAAGATACATGTAATATGTATCGAATGGTACAGAGCATATCGGTTGTATCCCTTTAAACACTTTATTCATATATATTGTTACCCCTTTATAGAATGGCAGATTACATCCATGGCTCATTTCAATCACATGGGTTATGATACAAGACCTTTAAAAAATAATTGATCTTTGAGATGATCATGTTACCCAATAAACATCAGAGAATAATCTGGCATTTTCCCATATTCAATTTCA